CTAAAACACAAGACACAACAGTTGACAACGAGGATGGCGTACAGTATGCATGAACAACACATAAAATACCTTTTGAAGTATCTTTTCTGTATCTGAGTGAGTGAAATGTTGTCATTCCCAAAATCTCACAAAATGGCTGAACACCAAGAATTTTAAGATTTTCTTTTTAGCCTGAATTTTTTGACCATGAAAAACAAAACAAGAAAAAAGCACACTCCTTGACTGTAAACTTAACAATGTAAATAACTGACAAAAGGAAATATAGCAAGTATAATTCTTTTACCTCTCATTTACGATCATTACAAGGAGGAACTGAAATTTTTCTTTCCAAGACTGGATTCACTCCCACCACAATTCTGATGGATGTGCAGTCAGATTTGCGGGAAGGGGATCATGCCTGTCCCAGCTTACTAAATCTAATTAAATGCTCAAACAGAAGTTTGTGAGCTTTACTCCATGACATGTGCTATGATACAGTTCAGTTTTGTGAGTTCACTGCAAACAGGTAGTCATGCCAAGAAGATGAACCTGCTTCTTTTGTTCAGTTAAGATTATTTGAGAGGGGTACTAGAATGTACACCTTTTGGAAGGCTGGATGTTCATTTTTTTGAAAATTGATATACATATTAGGTGTTGGTAACAGTGGTCAAGTGAACATTTCTTACACGTATAAACTAGGCTCTGGATGGTCACGTATCTGATTGACATATAAGGACAACAGTGCAGACCGCATGCTATTCATAGCCCAGAGCAAAGTAAATATCCCCTGCCTCCACCTGGAGTGTCAATACAAACCATTGAGAATAATTAATAAACCACCACAAGATTAAAAACAGATGGGGAAATATAGCTAGATTCTCACTTATGCAAGACAGTGTTATCGCATATCTCCAGTGGTGTCATTCATTCATGGGAGGGTCAACTGGGTGATCAAATGGCACTCTGTAATATTCAAAGAGGAAAGCAGGTTCTGTCTTCATGTACATGGTCATTATTTGCATGTAGAGCATAAACTCTGTTAGTGACATTTTTGAGAGTATATTTGCCTAAAATAGATAGGCCCAGCCCCCCTGACAACTTGGTGAAATGGTTCCATAAATTACAACATTTGCTCACTGTTGGTATTTGTGGAGGGAACTTTAAGGGGTGGGGGCATTATCTATGTCTGGAATTTTATTCAACTCATTTCATGGCCTTTTCTGCAACTGGAAGGCAATATGCTGTTGCAATAGGGTAATGCCTGCACATATAATCCTTGTAGTCCTTGATATGTTCTGTCATCTGGCCAGACCTATTTCCCATGTATAGGACATGATGGGACAGTACCTGACTTCTTTAGTTAGACCACCTACAACTCTTGCTGCAGTGTCATCAAGATATGAAATATTGTATACAAGAATACAGGTCTAGGGCAGGAGATATATATATATATATATATATATATATAAATTTTTTAAAATCATTTCGCCCCAAGCAAGGGGGTTTAGGAGAGTAAAAGAGAATGAGAAGACTTTAATGAGGAGAAAGAATAGGATTCAGGGAGACAGAAGATTGTGATTGATGTTGCATTTAAATTTTTGAAGATTGTAGGTAGCAGGGAAGCAAGAAACTAGAAAATAGTTCAACGGGTGAGAAGTATAAGAAAAGAAACTTAGAATAGAACTTAAGGTTACAGCTAGCTAAAAATGATGGGACCTAGTTTCCAATCATGGAGTCAGGGTACCAAAGAGGAGAGCTCAGAACTACTGCCATGAAAATATTTACAGAAAAGATCTGAAGTCTCACAAAGAAAATCTTGAAATCAGTCCCAATCAGTGCACTGGTAACAAAAAGATGTCCCATTAATAGGGGAGTTCTTGCCTAATAAATGAGCAGAAAAAATATCTACAGAAACTCCTGCATAATCAGTTTCAAAGCACAACATGAGTCTGGGGAGGAGGTAAGGCAAGGAATAGTTTCAGAATATGAATTCTGAGTAATGTTCATTCCCCAAGGCCCTTATTTCAGAATCTGTGCACATATTCATCTGTATGTGAGAATATTTAATGTATTCCACCTATATTACCTGATCAGTATATTTTAGTCTTCTGTAATTTGCAACATATAAGTTGTAATATTGTATATATTTTCCATAAATTAATTGTCTATATTGGACATACTACCACCTCCTTGAGTAAATGTGTCATTTATCAAAGTGCTATAAAAAAAAACATCCGTCTACACACAATTTATAAGAACCCTTAAAAAATTCTTGTTGAAAACACTAGCCATATTTAACAAAAGATGTCTAAAAGAAAGGTTGCTGCCCAATGTGTGTATGTGTAATAATTAAAATTCTCTTTTTTTCAGTGTAAATAGAAATAGTTTCATTTTTATAGTAGGAAACTATGGTTATTTTATGTTAATATAATTTTTGTGGGTAATGCTGTTTGTTTATTGGGAGTTGCCAGCCTTGCAATGGTTGTAAAGCTAAATTTATAGATTAAACCCAGCTATGTATGAAAACCTATTTGTATACATAGAAGATATTGATTCAATATACACATGTCTGCCTCATGTTGAAGGATTAGAATTAATGTTTTTTTTTTTTTTTTTTCACACACACACACACACACACACACACAGATTAGATCAGTGCGTCTTTAATACTTATTAAAAAACAAAAAAAAAACAACTCTTGCCTCTGATGTGAACATTTGGGTTTGATTTATAAAATGAAAGTTTAAAGGACAAGTAAAAATGAACAAAAATTTAAGATCAGAAGATTCTAATTATTTTGACCTTTGACGTTTTCTATGGAATTACAAAGCTTTTATATACCCCTTTACATTTGCCCTTCTCTCGTGTTCCTTACTCAGATCCCTGCTAAAAAAAGAAAAAGTGTGGTGGGGTAAATATTTGAATCTTAGCCCCAAACTGTAAAGAAAGATACATGAATAGATTTCTTTATTTCTTAAATATATAAATCCTGAAATAAATTTGGAAAAATTACAAATTAATAAGAAAATTAATTTTACATTTGGTACATAGATCTTTATGTTGTCTGCAAATCAACTGTTTTCCTTTATCATTCTGCTGAGTTTATGTGAAATATTCTCCCATAGAGTTGCAGTTATTGGACTGTAAATAAATCTTTTTACATGCATACCCACACAACCTGTAGGATAATGTACTTAAGAAGAATTGTATGGGTATATTTGCTTGCCAAATAGAACCTGGATTTTACTACAATATATCATTTTCTTTGTATAGCTTGCTTTTGAAACATTCACATCCTCTTACAGATAAACTCACCCCAAGCTGAAATTACCGACCAGTTACTAATATTCGTAAACAAACATTTCTAAATACATGTATATATGGAGATGATTTTTATTATCTAAATGGATTGAAACAAATGTTGTTTTTTTTTTTTTTGTTTTTTTTGGTGTTTATCATTTCCTAAGAGTTCTTTATTGCCTTCTTTTTCATATGACTCTCACATAAACCTCATAACTGCATCCAACCTCTTCCCCCACCACGATGCACAGAATAGGTGAGAAGTTATTGGAGATTAAAACTTCTGCAGCTATACTTAAAATACTTTACTATTTCACCCCCACCTGCTGTTTTGTTTTCTGTTTTGCTCAAAGAAAACTGAAGTCTGCAGACTAAATGCATTTGCTTTGCATCTAGCAGTGTCTTCTGTATCAACATTTCTACTGCATTTCACCTATTAATCAGTTCATAATCGGTTATTTAATTTAAACATTGGGGAAAATAAATGAACAAAAAAACTAACAGAATCTTATTTAAATTCATTCTATATTGTCTAACATAACTGATGATTCTTAAGCCAGGGATGAAATTTGTGATGTAATAAGCAAAGATGCCTATGAAAAAATGATTGTCAAATGCTGATATGACTAATTAACAGCTAATTAATTGATACACCTCTAAGATTGGATTGAAAAATTCTAAGCAGGAATTTTTAAAGTTCCTCTGATTCAGTTTTAAGACTGCATTTTTTTTTCTCTTCTCACTCTTCCTATGTTGTGAGCTATTCTGAATTGTAACACTGATACTTGAACACACTGAATGCAATTTATAGATTTGCTTGCTCTAATTAATATAGTACTGAAGTGGGTGCCACAAAAGCTGAGCTATATTTCTTCAGCTGTTGAGCTGAAGCAATTGGTTTAAATGATCTCAAAGCTCAGCTCTTGCCCTGTTTTCCCAAAGATGAAAATTATTCTTTCTGAATTCTAACAGGTGCTTTATTTACAGCTGACTTTGTAACCAGTTGTTGTTTGGACACACCCTAAAGGATGTTGTTGATTCTCTCATTGAATTTAACTCTTTTCTATTTAGAGATGATGTCAGCTGCTCTTACTTCTCTTGCCTACTTTAGCCCAAGATATTTTTTTTCCTTTACCAAGCAGAATATTCTTAAATGTTCACCTTCTCTATATGATCAGTACCTAAAATTCTGGCATAGTGCTGTAGTCTCGCAATCCTGCCAATGATCTTGCATTTTCTTGGAAGGAAATGCAATGACACAACTTCATTAATTTTAATCTGAGCCGAGTACAAAAACTCATCAATGCTCCATGTTAATGAATTGCCATGACAGTATTTGGGGGTCAGGCTGAAAGGTTTCAAATTTGTTCGTTATTTTGTCACAAGTTTTGTTTTAGGATTTATTTTGGATAACTTGTGTTTCAAAACTTTATTTGATCTGATCTGATAGTTTCAACAGTTTGTAAATTGCTGGCACCATTTTTCTTTTAGCCTAGACATTTCATTCACACTGAGAGATGTTTTGAAATTAATAGCTACTGCTATAAGTCATCCATGTTGTAAGATCTTTTTAAGATAGATAACACCTGGTTTGAGTCTGTCTGCTAAATTATACCCTCTTGCTCAACTTAAGATTAATTGCCTAAAGTTCATCTTGACATTTATCACTATTGAGTGTGCTCTTCAAATTATGAACATGATTCATTGTTTCATTGCCTCAGGAATAAATCTTCTGTTTTCTTTGTTGAAGGGAGAGGTTAATGATTTTAAATGTGTGCCTTCTTTTCTTTCTTTTTCCTCTCTCTCTCTCTCTCTCTCTCTCCCCTTCACTGATGCGTATACATGGGGCTTTCATTTCTTATTTGTTGTTCTCCTCACTGTTTTGCTGTCCATTGAATTATGTTAATTGATATCTAGTACATGTAATCCTGGAGTTTGTCCAATGTAGAAGCTAATTTAGGGTTTTTTCCTCTCTCTGTTTGCATTGATTATTTGTGGTCAGCGATACAGTGTCTTTCCATTAATGATTGCCATAGGGATAGACAAATGTATTCAGTTTCACTAATTCTTTGTTGAGATTAAATGGTACTTTAGATATTCAGTCACTAGGCATTCTCTTACCAATTCTAAATAAATCTTAACTTTTTTTTGAGCAAAATTGGAAACTAATTGTTTTTATTTATTAACGTTAATTTATATTCATTGTTAAAGCATGCCTGTGTCCTTATATAAAATACTATGCTTTTTTAATTTTCTGATAGTAATTTACTTGTTTTAAATAGATGACAGATTCAAGTGTGTAGCTACACATGATAAATTCTATGGTGTTTTAAAGAATGTTTGATCAATTTGAAGTGAAGATACAGATACATAACAAATTTACAAAGGGTTCATTGACAGCCTTTTGTAGATTTCCTCGTCTGATTATTCAGGAAATTCATTTTTATAAGTTGTTTGAACATGGTTTACTTATCAGAAGAGTCTCTTTTTAACTATACAATATGGAAGAAAAGTGAAATGTCTTTTTTGCTCAAAAGCAACTTTAAATAGAATGTATGTGAGATTTTAAAAAAAAAAAAGAAAAAAAGTTTCATCAGTTATTTAACTGGGGGAAAAAAAAAAAAAAATGGAAAAATGCTTTTATATATATATATATATATATATATATATATATATATATATATATATTCTGAATTATATACCCTCCACCCGAGAAAAAAAAAAAAAAAAAAGGCAACAAGACTTAAGCTATTTCATTTTATCACTTTGGTAGTGATGTCTTAAAATTTATATTACTTAACTAGTTTTCTTTTTAATCTGATACAAATTGAGGATCCTTTATATTATTTTAGAAGTTCGCCAGTGCTTATTAATTTCTGCTATTATCAGTATTCAATAAATTTTTGAACATTTACTGTGTGAAAGAAAAAAGCAGCCGAATAATTAACACTTTTATTTTGGCAAGCAATCTTCCTCCATTTTGTGTTCTGCTACTTCTACTGATCTTGTTAAATATTACCCAAGTCAAAATATGCAATGATTGGCAAAGGGGGGGGGCTGGTTGGCTCAAAATATTTTGCATTGAGTTAGAGAAAAACTAACTCTGTTATTTAGCCATGGTTCAACCAGACAGAAAATCAATTGCCCCATCTCCAATAGCATTATTCTGTTCATTTGCCTACATTTGTTGAACTTGTACAGTTCTACAATGGCTTTCTTGAGACAGCAACCTTGTACACAGTGCATTTTTTCCTTTCATGTACGTGTACTAACACAAATACATTTCCAGAACTTTATAATATTGCAAAAGCAAACTATTTTTAAAAAGCAAAAAAAAAAAGAAAATTAAATGGTGACTTGAATTATTGTGCAACTAATAGCCCTGTTTAAAGCATATCTCAAGTTTATTGCAATATCTGCTTAAAATTGATTGTTTTGATTCCAAATAAAATATTTAGCTATAAGATATTACTGTATCATATTAAAGGGATTTGTTTGCAGCTGTAGCAACTGCTACTATTGCTAATATTCTGTACATTTCTCTCTCTTTTCTTGGCCTTGCATTGTTTTCTTGCATCATAATGATAAAGCTAATTTCAAGAAAATTATATTCTTATATAACATTTACAAACAACTCCCCCCTATCTTTTATTTTAAGTGTTCACCCCTTGACTACCTAATCTTAGATGATGTAATCCTATCCACTGATCAACTGAATAAAAACCTATCAAAAGATCTTTTCATACAGCCACTCTTTTTTTTTTTTTTTTTCCTCTCTCTCTCTCTCTCCCCTTCTCATTTCCTTGTCCTACTCCTTCATTCATTTTTTTGTCTGTCTTTTGCTGCAGGCAAGTTGACAAGCATTTACACAAAATGTCATCCTGTTCAAAATAGATAAACGCCTCTCTGTCAAAACCTTTTCTATATATTTAGTCTATTCAATATGCTTTTGTACTCAACTCGATGTCGGCAAGCATTAGATTGTGATTGACTGTAGATTTAGTGTCTTTTCTAATGTAGATTATGCAATCTTGCATGATATTATTAAAAATAATTCTTAGCCTCATCATCCTTTATATATTAATAACTGAAATGCAGTTTGTCATAATTGTCTATATTAAAAAAAAAAAAATTCTTGTTCTCTTCACAAATATTAATTACTTCAAAAAAGAAAATTAAAAAAAATCAAATTTGATATTTATATTTTAGTTATTAAGTCTGATAAATTTTATTGTAGATGCGACAAGTGTCAAAAACCTCCACCTTGTTAGAATAAATTCCATTGTGTGAAGAGTCAATGTCTAAAGGTACATAGGTTGGGGGTGTACCACTCATGAGCTGCTGTGTGTGTTTGGCTTTGAATCTTATCACTGCTGCTGCTCATGATGAGGGCGGCTGCTGCTGCCACCACCTCCATCACCACCACTGCTGCTGTTGCTTCTGTTGAATATTCCAGCTGTCTAATGGTGCAGCCATAGAAAATGGTTGGGAAAGATAGCATCACTAGTGGTAAGTTGGCAAGAACAGTTATCAGTGACCATGGCAACTTTGCTGCTGCTGCTACTACCACAACTAGCGCTACTTTTCTCTAGCCAAGTAGGTCAGGAAAGAGGGTGATGTTAGGGTACACACCTTTGGTTTGTTTTTCTCTCTCATCTCTCTTCTCCTCTCTCCTCCTCCTCTCTCTTTTCTCCCTTCTCCTCTCTCTCACACACACACATATATATATATAATATTGCTAATCTGATAGGTTTTCTTTTTTTCTTGCTTTAATTTTACTTGATGTCTTATTTCACCTCTCTCACTCCATCCAAATAAACCTTTGTTTGAAGGTTTATTTCAAAGTTCATTTCTTCTGTTCTGGAATTTCACTTTTTATTTGCCTTTCAAATCAATTGGATCACTTGGATAGAATCCTCCATCATGAATTCATTGCATATAATTTTGCATAGACATTTCCTATTGGTGCCTGCTCCCCTGAAGACATCAAACTGTTTTTGCTATCATTCTATGGAATCCCAATTGTGTAACTATTAAAAAAAAATATTCTCTTGATTATTAAAAAGTCGGATTCATTTCTCATCAACACATTTTATAATTTACTGGCAATCTTTCTCAGAGAATAATCTGTTTACATTGAAGTGTTTTCTTTTTTGTTTTTTGTTTTTAAATAAAAAGAATTTTAATCTAAAAGGAAATATTAGCCAAATTTGTTTAATTAACATCATATATTTCTTATTAATTACATTTGCATTTAAGGAGTACAGACCCCCACACCAGTCCCCACCTTTTATTTATTCTAATATCATGAAGATTTTTCTCCTTGTTTTCAGGTCAGCCTCAAACAGTTATCCATACAATTTTAATCTTGAACAAGTAACACACCTACTTGCATGGATAGGTATCAAGTAACTAACCACTGATGTCGTTATCACTTATATATATTGACAGGTAATGTTACACCTATAAAAATAATAGGTTGATACCTTCTGTTGGTTCACTTAAGGCAAACTATCCACCAGATATTCTCATGTGTTGTGAATAATATTAATAATTGTCAACTTAACATTTTAGCAAGTTTCTTGACTGATAATAAAACACAAAAATGAATTTTTGTCCTCATTTTTCTTGGAATTAACTAAAACTGAGAGAACCAGAAAAGGCATGGTATGTGGAACTAGAACAATCTAACTTCATGGGTTCAGTTTGAAATTCTAACATATATCATTTGAAGCCGTTTTATAAACATCTGTTGATAGATATTGACTGTTATTGAAGTTAGACATATAATCATTTTAATACTTATCCTTCACTGTTGCATAGTTTCCTGGCTGTTTTTCGGGGGGAAAATAGGAAATTGCTATTTACTGGAAATAAATGATTAGGAAGAAACTGATGGTAATTCCTCATGGGTGATGCCATTTTGGTATTGATCACATACTATGCTGAGCAACTCCCCCACCCCACATACGCTATAATAAAAATATGTCACAATACAGATTGTATTATACACTACTATATGTAGACATTGATTTGAAAATAGTACCAAGCCCAAATTTTTTTATGCAAACACTAAGGACTAATGTTTCAAGATGTAAGTATGTCCATTGTAAGGAAAGTGTCAGTCTGTTTAAATTTTTAAAAACTTTTAGCATAAAAAAGTTATGACAGGGTTACTGAAAATCTTTGGCTTGGCCCACTTTGTAAAAATTTGACCAAATATCAGGACACTTTGGTCAAGCCAAGAACTTTTCAACCTTCCTCTCACCTACCCCACCATTTTTTTTTTTTCTTTTTTTCTTTTCTTTGGGCACTTTTTTCTTTTCTTTGGGTAGATTCTGCAAGATTGCAAAATGTCTGATGGGACAAAAGTCCTATTCTCTGAATTTTTCTATTCCTTTACAATACCAATTACCACATCTGTCCTTTCAAGTTCTTATTCTTTTTAAAGTATTTTTTTTTCTTTAATTATAATTTTTAAAACAAATGATTGATGGAAAAGTCCTTTAGAAATATTTAAACAAACTAAAAGTTAATTCATATCTTCCAAAGAGACATGAGCACTTGGTTGTCACGGTAGAAGAATAGAATTATACCCAAATATAGAAAATATTTCATGGCAACTATCTTATTATAAAATGAACCTATTTTCATCATAAATTTCATATGATGTGCTGTTTCAAGTAGGACATACTCTGTTGTATACAAAGGTGCTTGTCACTATCTTAATTTCTACTTTCGTTACTGATTAACGAATATACTATGAGAATGTTGAAAATGTTCTCGGGTTGAGAAATTTTAGCCTCCAAAATCTTGTGCCCTATTTTCGTTCTGTGTATATTTCTTTTATTTAATGTCCTTAACCAATTCATTTTTGAAAAAGCTGTGAACCAGACAAAATTGTCT